GCATCAGTACAACGATCAAGTTCTCCTTTACATGGAGAAGCTAGCTAATTTCCTAGTGTTTTTTTTTTTTTTTTTTTTTTTTTTTAACCATCCTTTTAAAATAGCATTATTATAACAAAAAATTAATGGTTTCTAAAACAGTATTTTGGTAACACATGGTATCTATTCTTGGTCTGTGGTGATTTGTCACAAATACACCCAGTATAAATTTGAAGAAGCTAGATAAAAAGTTTCTGTGCAACGCTGAATGTTTTCCGTTGGGCTGATTTTTTCCAAATTGTTCATCTGTGTTATACTGACTGAATGTGTACGGCAACCTGTGCACAAAAGATGTTCGCATTCTCCGGGTAACTGAAGCTTATGTATATGGAATTAGTAAAACTGAGCATTTCAGTTCATAGGATTGCTTCTTTCAAGTGCTATGTGGATACTTAGCACTAAATATAATACATTTGCAAATATGTAATAAGCACTAGAGAGTGTTATCTGAATGCTAGAGATTTTGACAACTTACCTCTTGTGAAGAATCAATTTTCTAGTGGTTTCCTTTAGTTATTTTTCTCAAATGTCTTATTTTTAAATGAAGTAGCTTTTTAAAGCCTTTCCTTGCAGAGAAAATGGAAATCAAAATGGAATATAACCAGTTAAAACAAAACTACTGTTGAATTTTCTAATTAAACCTGATAGTTGATGATAGGGATATATATTGAAAGCTGAAGCAGTATATTGCATATTTCTGACAAAGGAATAGTGTTGCTTGTTGGCAGTAAAATAGCATCCTTTCCATTTCTTGCTTTTCTTAGAAAAAAAATATTTATAGTAAACACTATTAAGGAGATCATCTAACTGTGAAACAAAAGTATGAATATATATGTGAACCTTTGAGTATATGTTATTTAGACTCCATTTTTTCTTGCTTAAGGATTATAAATATCTGTGATTTAAATCTTGTGACAAAATTCTAGTTTAACTAGCCTCCCAGTTTCAACTAATGATAATGATAACAAGACTTTATTTGATTATAACTCTTTCATTGCTCTTGTTACAACCAGTGTTATCTTTTTCTTTTTAATGTGTTTTTTTATGTATAACTTAATTTGAGTTACACCACTTTTACAATATTTTTCTTTAGATTTTCCTAGATTTTAGAGCCCTTATTTACATAAAAGAATAATAATATTTTGTGTCTTTATAATAAAATGGTGATCAAAAAGAATTCCCAGTGCTGGGAAGTACTTGAGTGCACCTTTTACAAGTGGAAAAACACTGTATTATATTTATGGAAGCTCTGTTGCTTACTAGTCCAAGAACACACATACACACACACATATCTATATATATATTCTATTTCAAATTACAGCAAAACTATTTCTTAGTACGCATTGTGAAATAAATCACATGGTGTCCAACTGTGGCCAAATTTATTTTGAATGTTTCTAGAGTGCTTTTTTCTTTTTTCCCCCTTTCCCTTGTCTTTTATGAAGAAGATAATGAATTCTTCATTCCAAGTGCATTTACAGACATTTCAAATCATTAATATTTTATTTCATTTCGTTAGAGAACAATCCCTCAGACTTTTCTACTTTTTCCTTTCAATTATTTTTGTGTTGATATTCTCGAATGTTATTTTCCATGTTCAATTTCACACATCAAAAATAATTTAAACTAGAGGTAAGAATAATTTGGATGACAATAAATGTTTTTAAAATGCAGTTATTTACTCTCACTTTGATTGCTCTCATTTCAGGACAATCATCCTTGATAGAAAGTCATGATAGAATCCCTTTCTTATAGCCTAAATGAATTCAGAGTAGACACATTTTCTTTAAAAACTGTCTCTGCATGAGGATTTATTTAAGAATCTTTCTTGGAGAAAATGTGTGCATTTGACAGTACTTATTCAATGGCTTTTACTTCAAGCATTTCAAGCAGTAATAATGGTGTTATGGGGAAGGTGATTTTTGTTCATTTGTTGTTGTTGGTTTTTTTAATTAATTGAAGCCTGTCCACTTGAAAGAGTATGTTTATTCATAAATCTAAATTGCAATTGCTTAGATTTTAAAGGATATTTTTAAACATTATGCAAACAATTCTGACCAACTCACTTTATGGTGTAGTAAATTTCGGGGAGTCATGTTTTCAGGAACAAAGGATAACATTAAATTTAGAACAAGACTAAATTAGTATAAAACAGTTGCTTGTCTTTACAAATCACTTGGCTTAAATATTTTATCTCTAATGGTTTATAATTGTCCTTATGAAAGATTTTGGTAGAAGTGATAATTTGACAGAAAGCTATGATGATCGTATGTTTAGTGCTTTGATGTTTTCCTGGGTATAACTGACAATCAATTTTATAATATTTGTCTGTATGTAAATTCAACCTTGAAGAAATAAAGCGTATTTTTATGTGGAAATGTTCAGATAAAACAAAAAAACAAACAAAGAAACAATTATGTTCAGTATTTAAAATGTACATTAAACATTGCAGAGATGGACCTGAGGAAACTTTGGGGTAATATATAAAAGAGCTATCACATGTGGTGCTTCTGACAAGAAATGAACACTGAATCCTATCAAAGCTAAGTGAGGAACTGTATTAAATTGCAAGTAAAATCTCTGAAGACAAATATATATATTTTTTTCTGGGCAGTGTAAGACTCTAAAAGGAACATCGAGAGCCACTAATTGAGGGCATAACATAAGAATTCCAACAATATTAGGCGGGTATTGTGGTAAATCATTGGTGAAACTTCTCATCAAAAGCTTTTCCATAACAAAATATTGTAATTATTTAATAGTAAAATAGTATCATAAGGACTATTGTAGTCCTCATCCAATGACGTCAGAGAAAGAATAATAAAAGAAGACGAGATTGGAACCCTTAATTGTTGCAATACATATATATGTATTTAATGAAGTGTAAAAATACAGAAATCAGGGTTTGTTGTAATGATGTTCTAGGAAAATATGCAAGAATGTATGGATGAGCTACGTGTCTCAGTGAAGGAAATCTGTCTGTCCTTACAGGATAAAGAAGACATAACAGCATGCACTGATGATTATACTACTTCTCTGATATCATACACATTTAGATTCTTCTCTGTGCAATACAGTGTTGCATGGAATGAGAGATAGAAGCAAAACTTCTGTTTAGTAGATTGATTTCAAATAGACTATGGGACGTGTGACTGTAAATATCTGAGCAATTCAGAGAACAAACGTCTAGGGTCTCTGTATATGAACATTCCAAGCTATCAAGGAACTTAATACTGTTCTGTTTGAGGCGGACATGTCTGAGATTTTTTACATCTTCAGGTATAAATGTTTGAATTTAAAGTTTGCGTAAATAATTTTATTCAATATTTCAATTTAATGTTGGATAATATGTTTGAAGGAATTCCAGACGTTTTGAGAACTTCAAAACCACTGAACTGAACAGTTGATGTAGACAAATTTTAATTGTCAGAATTTAATTTAATAGATGATGAATGTTCTTTCTATAGCAGAGTTCCCCAGGTAGCTGTTTTCTTTGCCTTCTTTCTATCTGTGTGTAATTAAGGTTATCTTTTTCTTTTAGCAACACAGTCCAAGCTCTTAGATAATCTACTGTGGCACTTAATTATGCCCATCATTATGAAGTTCCTCCTTATATCTGACCTGAATTTCTTCTGTTAAGATTTAAGGCCATTAGCAATTGTTCCATCTACAGAAAATAACTTCTCATATTCCAGTTTGCAACCACTTTGTATGTGTTGAATACTTTGATCACTCCCCAATGAATCCAATATTCCTTAAGAGGAGCGAAAAATTCAACAGAGAAACAAACATCTTCTGAAGAAATTTCTTCTGAGAGTAAACAGTCTCCTTGCTTTCTTTGCATTCTGAGTAAAATCCTGCATACCAGCATTCTGGTTTTATATAGACAGAAAAGCTTAAATCATGGGTCACTTCAAGATACAGGTTTACATTGGAAATACTGACAGATCCTTAGTAAAGCTGTCACATGCCTGTGGAATGAAGTGCCTTTAACCCCACTGAATGCTGATGTGGAGATTTAGGGCTCTATGAATTCTATTAAGTTACTCTGCAGAGTTCATCTGAAACTTGTATTTGGTGCAGTAATTGCATCTACTAACATTTTTCTTACCTTTCTTTGTTCTTATTTTTTATTTTTGTATAAAATGAGAAAAACCTTTCTAATGCACAAGTACAGACTAAGTCATATATTGAACCTTTCACATACAACTTGAAGATTTGTAGTAAACCCAACCATTTATTTGGTTTATATTTTCCTTCAGCTTTGTATTTGAGGAAGATTACCCTAAATAAGGAGATGTTAAAGCCTTGCACTTTCCTAAATATTTCTTCCTATAATTATGAATATTCTGATGATTGTTTTAAGTTATTTACTGCCCTATTTCCACATCACTTTATGAGGAGAAGTCATATCATAGTCTAAATTATAAACATATATGAAAATAAACGTTTAAAGAAATTAAATTCAGTTTTCATGGAACATATGCCATATAATTGACTTTTTGTCTGTTTTTGCCACAGTATTAAAAATGGAAGCATATAAGTTGAAGCAGTAAGGCAGACTTTTTTTTCTCTCTTTGTGTGTTTTCTATGCTTCATCTATGAAACCACTGAGAAAACAGTTAAGAGCTCATATCAAGAGAAATATAAAAACTGATTCTTAAAGCATTTGATTGATTTGGGATTTGAATTAAAGTTTTATTCTTGTTCAGTTGTTAAATCACATTTTTATTGTCTTATGAGAGGCTTACTGTATTCATCCAAACAATGCATTTATTATTAATGCATTATATAACTTGTTAATGAGACTTATAGGCAAAAGTTAAGAGAATTCTACTTTTCATTTAATTCTTTTTACAGGGAGGGTAATCATTATAGTATAATAATTTAGATAAGAAAGAATAAAAAAGGAAGATATGGGGGGGCATTCAATATTTGTTCTGTCTTTTCAAATTTTACAGGAAGAGCCATATGTAATGTTCAAGAAGTCAGATAAACCTTTGTATGGAAATGATCGGTTTGAAGGTTATTGCATTGACCTTCTCAGGGAGCTGTCTACTATCCTTGGATTTTCCTATGAAATTAGACTGGTGGAGGATGGAAAATATGGAGCCCAGGAGGATGCCAGTGGACAGTGGAATGGAATGGTTCGTGAACTAATTGATCATGTAAGTTAATTTTTGAGGCTTTCCACTATCCATTTAGATTTCAATATTATCTGTGCAAATTATAAAACATTGTACAGTAGGACCATTTGAATAGTAGTGCCTTGGAGAAAGTTTAAAAGATTAATGCAAGTAGATCCATGATTTTTCTCCTCCAAATTCTGTTTGTTAAACCAAGACTGTTCTACATCTTTATTTTATCAACAGTGTTTTATTTCTGCCAAGTGAGTTTTGCTCCTCCATGGCATATTTCCAAATAGTAGTCAGAACTCCTTTTGGTGAACAAATATCTGTTATTTTTATTTGTTTTTTATTAGTGACATAATATATATTTTCATTAATCCATAGTAGTCAGATCTCTGATAGTGGATCTGAGACACATAAATTATTTGATAAACACAGAAGAGCATATTTCTTGAAACTTCGGCTATTAAGTGCAAACAGTAAGATAGCAACATATACTGATGCAGTAAAGTAGTGAAATGTGTTTTAAAACAGGTGCCACTACAATTACTTATATCAGACATTAGTTTGTGTCCTTTCAATGTTGGTCATGCCAGTTGAATTCAGCTTTTTAGACTCGTTTTAGATTGTAAATTTTTTGAGAATTATGCTGTTTTGCCTTTTAGCATTTATCTAGGTGAATTACTTAATAGAGAGACATTTGATCAAAGAATTGTTCTGCACATCAGTGTCACTCTAACTAGGTAAAATGGGAGATTATTTTATTGCTAATTCAAGTGAAACTTCCTAATAATGGCAGAAAGTGCATGGATAACTTTAAGATTAATTTTAACTAATCCATTACTTAAGATTTCAGCGTATGAGCAGAACGTGTGCTAATCAGAATATTCTGTTTACTAAGAGGGCTTTCATCTTTCTACTTTACTTTTCTAGTAAATAATAATCTGGTAATTCTGTTGCAGCAGATGTTGATTATGTCTAGTTTCTAACTTTTAATATAAGTGTGTGAGAATATTATATTATCTTTAAATATGTGTATGTACTGTACCTCATGTAAATGCATATAAACAGATATTTTGCTTGACTCTTTCCATCTCTATAAATGCACAAATTCACACATGCACAATGCATAGGCATACATAGTTGTTAGATTTGGTGGCTGTTCGATATTATCATCCGAAATAATTTTCTAATGATTAGGCTCAGTGGTGAGAAAATATTTCTTACGTAATTCTTTAGAGGCTCAGAAAAAAACTTATTTTGTAGTGAGTTATTATTCATCCCTAAAGCTTTCTTCAACAAGCACTGGCGGAGACTCCTAAACTTTTGTGAAGGTAATTTGAAAATGAAGCACTTTTAAGGATGTTGCAAGAGTGAGAGCTGCAGAACAGCTTTTCCAGTCCTTTCCTCTTGATAGCATAGAATGGAATGTGTTCATCTTTCTCCTTGCATAAAATTAAACTTTGATTAAAGTGTATTTTGCCCTTTCAAATGCTGCTTACGTATGAATAAAAATAGTTTAGATAAAATACTAAGTGCATTTTGGAAGATATAGTTTAACCTCCTGTATCATACCAAGATTAGGGTGTTGAGACATACTATGTATTACACTCCCGTGCTATGCTGAACAAAAAACTCTTCAATTTCTAACTTTTTTATGGTCTTTGGGTGAATAGGTATTATATTGCAAATTTTCTTACATTTTTAACTAAAAATTTTAACTTTTTTTTTTTTTTTTTAATTAAGAAAAAAACAGTTTAATAATTTTAAATATTTTTACTAGTATGTCTCTAGACTGGACTTCCAATAGTTTATTGATTTCCCGATAGTTAGAATATTCTTTCTAAATTTTATGTATTTTTATTTGTTCTTATCCTGCAATTTATTTGAAATACATGCATTATATTACTCATACATTTCTGTCATTTCTGCTTATCATTGCGTATTATTGATATGTTTTATTAGTAAACAACACTTCTAACCTGAGTACTGATAGATAAGAATTTAGAGTATTCCAGATAGACAGTTACCACATTTGATGATTCAATTTTTTTGAGTCCTTTGCACATCAGCTTAGTTTTCATTTTCTATTCCTGTACAGAATATTTAATAAAGTGTCAAAAGTATTCTTTTATACAAAGTGAGATAATGAACTGATTTTTATTTAATTTTGATTAGTTTAAATACTTACCATATTTCATTAAAATGATTCAACATACATTTTTTAACCTGTCTAATTAAATAAAAAGACCAGAAAGTAAAGATGCAGTTATCAAAGTTGCAGTGTCTACATGCATTTACAAAATATGTTTAGAATTTAATTTTACCTATTTGTTATATTTGAACCGTCAGTCAGTTAATATTAGAAAGAATGGATAGCATGCCATAGTAAATATATTTACAAAGGTAGTTTGTAAAATTTGTAACTCAAGAAAAAAAATTATGTGTGTAGGAAGGAAGATTCAAAATTTATTAGATAAACAGTACCAAAAATAATCTATATGTACTCAAAAATTTAAGTGAAATGAACTGAGCTCAGCATATCATGTAAGTCTTAGGCTTGAAATTATGTAGCATGAACAGAGAAATGAAGGAAGCATTTGGCTTTTTATGTTTTCAATCCATTTCCCTATGTTTTACTCCATTTCTTCTTTCTTTTGCTGCTACATATGTTGTTTTCAAATGACATCATTCTGATATTAGTTTCCAAACAGTGACTAGTTTCCTTCTGAATAAATGATAAATATTTTGAAAGTGAAAAATGAGTTCAGTAATCACTGATGTGTTCCCTTTGACAATTGAAGGAAAACAAATTCTTTCTGGAAAAGACAGTGGTATCTATAGCTGCAAATGGTAAAGAAATACCAACTACAATAACAAGATGAGATTTTTCATTTTAAATGGAATTTCTCCAATTAGGGTGCCTAATCTATTTGCCACAATGAGGATTCTTATTCTTTTTTTTTTTTTTTTTTTTTTTTTTTTTTCCCCCTCCATATTTTCATCTGGTTAATTTAAAGAAGTATTCTTTGTAGTGACTTGATGTCTTTGTCCTTATTTGCATTCAAATTAGAGTAGACTTCTTGAATTACTTTTGGATTGGAGGTTACGAATTCTGGAGATTTTAAGTTTGTCTGTGGTGCTGAAAAATTGTTATGAGGTGTATCATATTAAATGAGATAGTATGTGTAAATTATTTTTCACTGTAGACAGCAGATACTGTTAGAGTAAAAGTATATAATTTTACTTCTATTATACAGTCTGTTTTATAAATCCAGAATTATTTCAAAACATTCTTATAATTGGGTTCTAAAACAAATAAATAACTGCTATGTTATACTTTCTAAGAGATATAAATGAAAGTTAAAATCCGCTGGGAAGTAAAATGTTACTATAACACACCACTGAAAATAATCTTTCTTTTTTCCATGACTGTTAGAATGGTTCTTCTACAGTGCAAAGCTTTTGCGTTGCAAATTGTCTTTAAGGCTTGCAGATCTTTTTTGATTCATAAATAGTTATATAAAGGGTCCAGCTTTTAAAGAATGACTACTCTTTTATTATATGTAAGAATTTAATGGGAACTTCCTTTCATTTCATAGAAGAGTAGAATTTTCAGCATGGAAGAAGGTAAGATTTATGCAGTTGGGCAAAGCACTACTTAATTTGAATTAGCTTTAGACATAGACTTGAACTTCAGTATCATTTATATTTTTTAAAATCAGTACCTTACACAGTAATAAATGTTTACATGTGAAATGGTTACAATTATAAAATTAGTAGCAGTGACAAACATATTAGTGGCCTTCTGTTTTCTCAATAACAAAATACTTTCTGATATTTATGTAACAGGTTTAAAATACTCCTGGAGACATCTTCTGACAGTAACTTTTTATTTTGCTACTTTTTCCATCTGATTTCAAGTACTTATGTTATTGAAGGATAGATCCAAACCTTTTTTATTACTATATGAAAGTTAATAAGAGCTTCAAATAGACAACTATACTGATTTTTTTTTGGTTGGTTTTCATCTTTTTAAGATGAAGAAAAATCTATGTGAGTCAAGGAATTTAAGTTTCTTCCATTTCTTTTCTTCCTTCCCTTCCATAATTCAGTTTCATCACGTTGGAGCATACTACATCTCTTCACGTTCACAACAATCTCTGCCTAATAGAGCTTTGTTGGGAACCATTAAGGAGTTCTGTTGCCTCTTCTTCCTAATGATAGATGCAGTCTTCCTCCTTATAATTTTCATGCAAAAGATCTAGCAGACTTTCAGTACAATGCATGATGGTTTAGTCATTTATCTTCATTCATGAAAATCTCTTAAGTTTTGACAATATATTAAGAGGTTGCAGGAGAAAGAAAGACTGAGCATTTTGCCTTTTTACACCAACACTGCATGTTCTGGAAAATAAAGCCTGATTTACTGCTAGTGCTCTTAGTACACCGTACCTACTTTTCAGCTTCATCATTTTATCAATGAACATACCGTACCTTGAGGCATTTCCAAAGCTATCTCTAACACTTAATCCCTGCTCTGTGAATTAGCTTCAATTTTTTTTACGAATGATTCTCCTAATTAATGTACGGACACTTAAGCATATGCTCCTACTTATTGAATGCTTTTATTAAACCATTTTCAAAATATTTCCCCACAGAGGATCACTGGATTAAATGTCTTCATTCAATTATTTTATTTATTTTTTTTTTTGTCAAATGTAATGTTACATTACTTCTTCCTTCCTGCATTTCTCCGAACAATTTAGTTACTTTTTCCACAATATGCCCTGGATTTTCTCTAGATAATGTTCTGCTAGCTTTCATCATCTTGTTCAAATAATGAGAATATTTCACACGACAATCTAGTTATTACTGCAGAGGTAGAATATGAGCAGTGACTTTGAAAACTGGTTTTGCCTAAACTACCTGATGTTGGAAAATTCAGGTCGTGCACAATTGTTTAGCTCTCTTCTTTTGTGTTGGCTACTTGTGACTGTAACTTGCTCTGAACATCAACATTCTGCTAAATCTTGAAA